CTCTTCTAAGCACTTGACATGGATTAACTCACTTAATCCTCAGAACAGGCCCTTGAAGTAGGTCCTGTTACTAAGCCCATTACATCTGTGAAGAAACTGAGGCAAGGAAAGATTAAGTATCTCATCCAAGGTCATAAGTGACAGAGCCAGGACTCAAATCCAAGCCGTCTACCTTCAGAGCCCTCTCCTGCCTGGCACTACTCTGCCCTAACCATTTTGCTCTACACTAGACCTCCCAATAAATGGCACAAAATATTAGCCCTTCAGCCACTGGCTGTCCAGGCAAGGCCAGGAATGGCTGGAACCACTTAGTTGCAAACAACTTCATTTGTTTGTCCTGCCGTGTCTTACATTGTCTTATTATTTTCTCTGTGTGCCATGGTGTGAAAAATGTTGGAAAGTGCTGCTCTATTCTGTAATGTAGTCACGATGGATGATTCAGTCAGTTTTGTGCTGTCTGACTAGGTCAGGATGAATTAGCCACAGGTTTAGCCCTGCCAGCTGATGATTTGGCCTCCCAGACGCCGCTCACTCCTCTGGGAGGCATCTCATAAATACAAGGGAGAGAGGGCAGGAGTGTGTCTGGATCTGTGTCAGCCCCTCACCTGCCAGAATGGCTGTGGCACACGTGCCCTCCTGGAACAAGTCGGCACCCTCATCTGCATCTATGCACAGGGACTTCCAATCCAGGGAGAAAGCATCAGGATCCGGAGTTGTAGACCAGCCTTGATTTCTCTATCTCTGGGAGGCAGTTCCTTTTTAAAACAATGTTGACTTCTCCCCCTGGCATACAGGGGTGCCTGCATTTTGTATTGGCATTGCAACGACGTGTTCTTTTGGAGAACTACCTGTTCTGGAGATGTCAGGGTTAGAGGAGTCAGCAATTATGAGCTTATGAGATAATGACACGTGTGTTTAGAGTGATGGCAAATTATACCATAGAAAAAATTTTGAAGATTCAGAGTGAACTATTTTCCCATATAAACTTACTGCCTCAGGAAAACTGTGGTTAAAATTATAAATTACCAGGAAACTTCAAGTTTCCCCTAGAGAGTCAAAATAGAAATATAAAAAGAGGCATTGTTGAAATAATCCTAAATTGGAAACAGTGATTATTCAATTAAAAATAAGTGTAGTTACACTTTCTATTTATATGGTATCATCTGGCAGTTTTTAGCTGCAAGACTCAAAGAGAAATCTAGTAATCCTAGACTTCAATATCCTCTTCTCCAAGATGAGTTTTGCTGTCCTACTCAACAGCTAACCTTTTTCCTATACATCTCCAAAGAAGTAGCTTCCTCTCCTCTCCTGTAAATCTGCTTTAGCTTTTTGTGGCCTTTATGACCAGAAAGCTCCTTCTAATGTCTATCCTGAATCTTCTTGCTATGGTTTAAACCCATAAGCTGTTGCCTTGTTCTAGGGAAAAACAACCACAGTGAATCTTTCACCTTCTTAGGGAATATAATAGGTCAACCCCTGACCCCCTGTTCTTCCTACATAGCTCCATTTTGGGAGAGGTTTGTCTCTGGGCCCTCTCCAAATCCACGTCATAGTGGAGTTCCAGAGGCTGCACCTAAATGCAATGTGGTTGTGAACAAGCCGGTCTCTGTGGGTTCCACCAGTCTCCCGGATTCCCTCTGTAGAGACAAGGCTTGGCCAGACTTCTGGGAGGAAAAATTTGTGGTTTCCTCGTTTACTACCCAGGAAGTGCAGGGACTGCAGGAAGGAGTAGAAGAGGCACCACTCGGAAAGGATGAGATTGTTCTGGACACCACTGCATGCTGGCCTGGGATCTTGGGCATCTTGGTTAAGCCTTCTTAACCTCCTCCTTGATGTAAGGGAAGATAGTACCTGCTGCACACAACCTCATAGGATGTTCTTAAGATCAAAAGAGATGTGAATGTCATTGAAAAGCTCACTCTTCCCTCAGCTCAGCCCAGCAGGTTAAACTGATTCACCCTTGGCCCAGAGCCCGGTGGCTGAGTCCAGCTGGGTGAGACAAAGTGGTTAAGTCTAGGAGGCAATGGTCCGGTCGTTGGGCTACACCCTACTGAGTTAAAGGTTGCTGACCACTTTACAATTTTGTGATGTCTCCCCTTTATTTCCTGTGTCCTAGACTCAGTGTGTGTGACAAATCTTACGCATAGAAGGAAAAAGACAATCACCTACTGGGTTAATGTAATTTACTGCACAAGACCCGAAAATACCCATTACAGTGAATCCTTTGGATCAAAGCCTAGCAAATAGAAGACTGCCATCAAAATACAAATATTTTACCTGCAATGGGTAATCCTTTGACAGCTGTCTCTACATTGCCACCCATAAGTGAGTTAACTTCCTAGCAAATAGCCAGGCCCTTGGGGGATGGTACATGTTGTTTTTAAAAAATGCCGGACCAACAGGCAGTTTGGAGTGGAAGAAAGGACATTCAACTTTGGCCCCAGATTTGCCATTTGTGAATTATGTGACTCCAGATACCTTGGTTAACCCCTTCACTTTCTCTTCTGAAAAAAAGAATTTAAGGATGCACAATATACCCCACGAGGTGGTTCTGGATGAAATAGCCGCGTGTGGATGTTCAATGCGCTTATAAACAAGGAAGGGAAATGCACAGTGTTGGTCATTGTCACGGCTATGGGTTTCCTAGGACCCAGAGCCAGTGGAAAGAAGTGTAAATCATAAACTAGTTATTTTGCTGAGGACATGGCTATGTCTGTGCATGGCGTGTGTGGAGGGAGGTGGTCTATGAAGGGTGTCAGACACCAAGATCAACAAAACTGTAATAACCGCTTGCATGCTGGAGCCTCTGCTGGGTGCCAGGCACTGTGCTAATGCCTGTCTCCGTTACCTTGAGCTTTCACGACAACCCCAACAGTACTAGTGATATTATTAGTATATTTGTTTCTTTGAGAAAAGGTGCTCAGAGAGGGCAAGTAACGGTCCAAGGTCACACAACTAGGGAGGGCTGAAGCTATGACTCAGGCTGGGTGACTCTGGGACTCAGGTCCTTTGCATTCACTTCCCTATAGGTCTCCTTCCAGGTTCCATACTCCACAACCATCATCAGGGAAGCCCTGGTTTAAACAGGAGTCAAGTGGTTCCTGGTGCTGCTCCAACTCAGTTAACAGACAGCAATCAAACGGGTTCCCTGGCTCTTCACTGGGAGGCTTGGGAGATCCCAAATGAGAAGTGACCATCCCGTATTTGATGTTACCCCAAAGTGCCTGTTCCTCATTTAAGGCATTAGTGGTTGTAACAGAAATAGTAATATTTCAACAACAGTGGTGATTAGTTACAGAAGGAGCCAAGTGGCAGTTCATTTCCATGTAAAAAACCCTCCCTCCAGGCCCTTCCAGGCACCCTGGCCTGTGGTAACATGTTAATTCAGACGAGATTGGGTGCATTCAGGGTGGTGTGGTCGTAGACAGTGCCATGTTCATTCGATGTATATTCCCTTCCCAGCACCAGCCGGCATGGGTGAGCTTGTATGACACAAGCCCTTTGAAACTCAAAGAGCTTTTCATCAGCCTGCAAGAGAGAAGACAGTAGAAGAAAAGTAACAGGAACGAGAGCAAGTGGGGGTGGTAGGATTCCCTCTTTCTACGCAAGGGGATGGTACTGGCCCCCTCCTTTCACTGGAGAAGGGGATGGGGCTGGAAGGAGACAAACAAGCATCCTGGAAGTCCGCACTGCCTTTTAAACTCTGGAGTCTCAGCCCAGACTTGATTTGATGTCTCATGCTCATTTAACTTTCAGCCACTGGGCGTGTGTGACTTGGAAAGAAGAATGAGGGGTGATTTGTTTCAATCACATAATCCTTCATCCACAGGAAATGGAGGGACCACTGGTTTCCTCTTGAGGCCTCCTAGACCAGAAGGCCAACTTTGTAGGTGTCCAGTTTCACACCCCGGGCGTCTACCATACGGGGACCAACGGGGCAGACGGAAAGGAAAACATCCCAAGACCCAGCTGGGGTCACCTCCTGCTCCGTGGGAGGGTTGGGGACCAGCCAGGGCATAGGCTGGGCCAGGGGAGGGAGGGCTGTTCCCGTGTGGCAGGAACTGAGAACAAATGTGGGTGAAGTGGACGTTGTTTAATTTAGCAAAGGTAATGTCATAATTGTCTCTTCAGCAACCACAAGGTACAAACTCTGGGAAGGAAGGCAGTGTGCATGCCCATGTTTAAAGATCCATATATACCCATGAGTATTAACAATGCAAAAAGCTCTCTCTCTCTTTTTTTTTTTTTTGCTACAATGCTAAGATTCTTGGCCTACAAATCACTGTTCATGTTAAAAAACTTTTCTGAAGCTACCCAGTTAAATGCGAGATAAAAACAGAAACAAAAACAACCAGGCTGGGCATGGTGGCTCACACCTGTAATCCCAGCACTTTGGGAGACTGAGACGGGCAGATCACTTGAGCCCAGAAGTTCGAGACCAGCCTTGTCTCTACAAAAATACAAAAAATTAGACAGGCATGGTGGTGCACACCTGTAGTCCCAGCTACTTGGGAGGCTGAGGCTGAAAATTGCTTGAATCCAGGAGGTGGAGGTTGCAGTGAGCCAAGATCGTGCCACTGCACGCTAGTGTAGGTTACAGAGTAACACTCAACCATAGTCTGCCTTTATTTTCCCAACTTCTAAGCCCCCTTTCTCTTCTCCTAAGTCTTGGATCATGCCCAGGACATAGTTGCTGTACATTTGCCCCTGTGGAGAAAGATCTTAGTCAACCAACAGTCCTTATTGATGTAATAGACACTACCATGTCTATTGCAGGTCAAAGCAGAGGAGTGCCTGTGTTAAAACGAGGCAGTCGTGTCCCCAAAGTGAAAAGAGAAAAAGTACAAATGGTAAATGCTGAGTTGAGGAAGGCACCGTTTTAACCAGAAGCCTGAGACGATCTGAGCTCCTTTCTCTCACCCAGGCTGCTTTCTCTGTGCCATTCTTAGTGACTTCCCACATTTAACCTCATTTAATGTTTTTTCTTAAAAAAAAAAAAAAAAAAAAAGAAACGCTTCATGAATTTGTATGTCATCCTCATGCAGGGGCCATGCTAATCTCTGTACCATTCAATTTTTTAGTATATGTGCTGCTGAAGGAAGCACTCATTGTTTATGTTCTTATATTTTACATCACAAATTCCTACAGTTATTGGGTATTTACCATGTGCCAAGTACTGTGCTAAGCAGATTACTTACATTTTCTCTTTACTTCGAGATAGGCTGGAATTCCTCTCCTGTTTTTCAGATGAGGAATAGAGGCTCAGAGGCATTGACTGATGGCTTGAAATCACAGGACTCATGGTTAGGCTCGTGCTTAAGGCTCCATGGCCCCTTGACTCCAAATCCTAGGCACTTTTTATTGCACAAATATGGCTCTGATAGCAAGCCTGTGAAATAGGTCTCATTCATCCTGCAAGTCAATGGGAAACCCAGGATGAAAGAGAAAATTGATTGCTCAGTTTTCTCATTAGGAAATGGCAAAGTCTACTGGAACTTGGGTCTTTTGACTACAAGTTCAGTGATCTTCTTCCTGGTGGTGGCAAATCCGATTAGTTCAGCCTTCTTGCCTTTCTGTCATTACCCAAGCCCTTAACTCAGGTGCTTGGACCTTCTTAGTCCTTGGGCTAAGGAAGCTAAGTCTCATGATCCCCCAAGACAACTATCATCAACACTTTCCCGTACATTTCAACCACGGTTGTCCTTATCTGGTTTCACTACATTATTGATCCCGCAGGCTCCCTCTTGGGTTCTTTTCCTTGGAAGTCCCACCTTTCTAGAGGTCTTTCTCATCACTTTGGCTCATTACTCTTCTTGAAAACTCCAAGCTGACTGTTTCTCCCTTCAGTTCTCTGCCCTGGGTCACACATGAGAGTCCATGCTCCATTCCAGATGTGGTCTCCCTAGAAGCTGAAAATTCCCAGCTGCCCCTTGAAGGACCCATGCGTCTCTGGTAGGTGGATAACCCAAGGGGTGTTCTCCTCTGCACATTCTCTTGGCCCATCCCCACTCCTGTTGCTCCCACCTTGGGTTCCCCATCCTCCTGGAAAAGGTTTGAGGCATGATAGAGTTAATGCAATCCAACTCTTGCCTGTGAGGGAGAGCTTGGCACTACTTACAAACCTCCTTCTCGCCAGGGGGGCCCTGTTCTCTATCATCTCCTGCTCCTTCTCGCCAATAAAATGACCCATTTAAACCATCTTTTTCTTATTAACAAGCTTCCTAGTAAATGGCTTCAGCTGTGCTTGTTGATTTATAGGGCTTAGAAAGCACTGCTGAGCCTTGGCTCTCCCTGTGGGTCCCAGGGCCTGAGTGAATCATGTGCTCTGGTGAGACTGTAAGAGGGCAGAAGCCCCTATCTAAGGGGCGGCTCCAGAGGGGGTTTCTTTTTTTTCTTTTCAATATTTTAATTACAGAAATGGCCAAACACAAAATTAGAGAAAGCTATACAATGAAACCTCTTGAACCATCACTTTGCCAGTCTTGTTTCATCTGCTTCTCTCTGCTTCCAAACCACTTCACTAGCTAGATTATTTTAAATTAAACCCAAAATATACTCTTTCACCCATGACTATTTTAATGTATTTTCTAGGAGAGAAAGACTAACTGGTCTTTTAACATAACCACAACAACATTGTCACATCTAAAAGTATTAGCAATAATTCTTTCCTTTTTTATTTTTTACTTATTTTTTAATTTTTTTTTTTATAGAGATGGAGTTTCACCATGTTGGCCAGGCTGGTCTTAAACTCCTGACCTCAAGTGATCCACCCATGTTGGCCTCCCAAAGTGCTGGGATTACAGGCGTGAGTCACCATGCCTGGCCAACAATAATTCTCCAACATTATCTAATACCTACTCAATATTCTTAATTGTCCCATAAATATCTTTTTATATTTGATTAATTTAAATCAATCCAGTCAGTGTTCCCAACTGCATTTGACTAATATGACTCTTATGTGTTTCTTTTTGTAATCCATAATAGTTTCCTCTTTCTCTCTTTTATTTCCCAGGGGTAACTTGATGTAGACAAGTTCCTCAAAATTCTGTGCACTGTGCCATCACTGACAAAGAAATACTGAAAGCACCCTTATCAGCAGAGCCCTTCCTTGTACTATGGATTCAGTGTTTCCCTTGGGGATGGCCCTAACCCTCAGATGTCCCTCAGAACGCCTTTGGAAGGCTAAATCATCTTGCTTCAATGCCAGTTGCAATAATGGGATCCTAAGTGCTGAGCAGTTGCTAATCTACTCGCTCCAATAATGACTCACATTTGTTAATAAGCATTTGCCACAACACAATAGGATTATTATTTTTTTTTACTCTCCGTATTGTATAAATGAGGAAATGGAGAGATAGAGGAACCTGTTTTACTTATCCCAATCGGTGGATTTGGGCTTTGAAATGGAATTGTCTGATGGACACACCCACTTGCTCAATCACTGAGAGACCCTGTCTCTGCATACAAGGTCTCATTTCACGCCAGGAGCTTCGCTGGGCTTCCAGGCCCCTCTCAAGCAGGACCAGCAGGGAAGGAGAAATCTTGATTAGTAGGATGTGTCTGTAGTTCTGAGGAAAGGTGAGAGCAACAGAGAGCTGGGGATCTCCTGCAGATTCCCTTTGTCCACGCTGGACTGGTGCCCATCTCTATGCATTGCCTGAGGCGGGCAGTGAACAGCCTTTCTACCCTCTCTTTCACAAGTCTCCATGAACCATTATTACCACATGCTCTCAGGCCCACACAAATATCACATGCAGATGCCCTCAGATCCATACCACGCACTCTACCCAGCCACTTGGCTGACAGGACAGCCCCCATATGGCTCATTCCTACAAATGCATGCTTGCAACACACACACCTTCCTATACTGAGTAAACATAGATCATGGAGGCCATGGGGGAGGACAGAGGAGCTGGTATTTTCCCAGTGGCATCCAGAAGGAAAGGTTACCTGACTTCAGATAGAAACGTTATCTGTTTGTCTGCCTACCTATCCATCCATCCATCCATCCATCCATCCATCCATCTTTCATAGGTCTTCTTAAGTCCTGGAAAAGACAAAGGCTTTTGAGCTCCTGGTAGACCCAGGGTGTCTGGATGGGGCTGGAGGGGTTATGAACAAGGCCAGGGCGGAGAAAATGGAGTCGGGTGGGAGCCTGCTGGTTAAATAGGGCTAAATCTAATTCCTCCCATCTGAAGGAGGGGAGCTCTTATCTATGGTTCTAAGTGATAGAAAAACCCCAACTGCTAGCAAGATAATCCAATTTCCTTTCTCCCTTGTGCTGAAGGGAACGGCCCTGGCCCTCCTGCTCCAACTTCACGCTGGGTCTCAGTCTGGCTAGAACTCTTTCTGCCTACAGCAGAATTCATATCAAAGCCTCAGCCCCCCAGGGTTCATTAGGAGGCATTTATTTCTGCATATTCTTGGAGGGCAGGAGGGAGGATAACTTGATTCGCAATGTAAATTGCTTGGCTGTAATTTCAATTCTCCTTCCTTTCTCACAGGGAGATTTTGCTGGTTATTAAAAATATATGATTGCCTCCAAAATAGCAGACAGGCGCTCTGCTGCACAGGGCCAGGTGCTGCTATTTGAAGGCTACTGAATGATATGGAATGGATGCCCGGGCAAACGCAAACAGAGTCAGTCCCCTGATCCTGTGCCAGTGTATAGACTCCATATTGCAGGGATGCTGACCAGGGTCTGAGGCCAATTGGGGGGACTCGGCCTACGCAGTCTGCAGCTCAGGTTTGCCTTCTGCTGCTGTGGGACACTCAGCAAGGGTTTCTGAGCTCTCAGCTTCCTGCTCTGTAAAGATGGGGGTGAATAAAGAGCTGAACACAGAGCAGCTGGTACACAGTAGGTGGGCAATCGGCTGCGCAGGCCAGGCTCTCCCCCTCCACAGCCCTACTGCCTGGCTCAAAGACACCCTTCCTCATCCGTCTGCCTTCCCCAGTCTGGGCTACTGAGACCCGATCCATCACGAAAGTATTGCCTAGGTCTTCTGGTCATGGTGGACATCTGACTTGGTCTTTTCTTCTCTGTATTACTGTGGGAACTCAGCACCCCCAGGAACTATCTAGGCCTTTGCCTTTCACCATCCTGTAGACATTGGTCAGTGCATAAGGGGAAGGGAGTGGGCAGGACCTATGGGATGTGAACATTGGGCAAAGCCAACATTTTAGGCCAGACAGGAAGAAAACTTCCTCCATGAGTCTGAGATGCTAACCTGGGATTCTCCTGGAAGGCTGGATGGAGGCCCCTGCAGGCTTAGGCCAGCTGGAGCCCCAGGATGCTCCAGCTCCAAGCTGCAGGGATAAAACTATGATGCCCTCTTCATATAATAAACACATAATCACAGAGGAGCACAGACTGCTGTGTACAACTGTGTAAACCAAAAAGGATCAGAGAGGTCTCAATCCATTTAGAAAATTTATTTTGCCAAGGTTAAGGACACACCATGACACAGCCTCAGGAGGTCCTGACAACATGTGGCCAAAATAGTCAGGGTAGTTTGTTTTAATACATTGTAGGAAGACAGAATATATTACTCAATACATGTAAGGTGGGGGCTTCCAGGTTATAGTAGATTTGAACATATTCTGATTGGCAATTGGTTGAAAGAGTTATTATCAGTGGAAAAGAATATCTGGATTATGATAAGGGGTTATGGAGTCCTAGGTTTTATGCAGATGAAGCCTCCAAGTAGCAGGCTTTAGAGAGAAAAGTAAATATTCTTATCAAATTTAAGATCTGTATTGATGTGAATGCTGCAGAAGCATGAGGCATGTCCAACCCCCACTTCCGGTCATGGCCTGAATCAGTCCTTCCGGTTAGATTTTAGAGTGCCCTAGCTGAGGAGGAACTTCATTCCAGTGGTTGTGGGGGTGGGGGGGTCTTCAAATTTTATTTTTGGTTTACAGCTGTTAGAAGGAAGCCATATATTTTGAAGTTTTTAAATTACCTTTTAATTCAGATTTTAAAAGTGTAAAAAAAAAGTTTGGCTGTTCTTCAAAATGTCAAACGTAGAGTTACCATATGAGCCAGCAATTCCACTCCTCCATCTGTAACCAAGATAAATGAAAACACGAGGTCACAGAAAAACTT